CCACCCCCCACCCCCCCACCAGCTAGCCAGCCAGCCAGCTAGCTAGCTAGCTAGCTAGCTAGCCACGGACCTGCTGCTGGCTGCGGAGAATGATCTTGTCGTCGATGTCAGTGACGTTCATCACCAGGCGAACTCGCAGGCCAAAAAAGTCTTCGAAAATTCGCCGCAAAACGTCGAAGGAAATATAAGTCCGCGCGTGGCCCAAATGCGCCGCGTCGTAGACTGTGGGGCCGCACGCGTACCAATTCACCTCCCCGCCCCGCTGCAGCAGCAGCAGCAGCAGCAGCAGCAGCAGCAGCTGCAGCAGCAGCAGGAGGGGGGGGAGCAGCAGGAAGCAGCAGCAGCGGTAGAAGTGGCAGTAGGCAGTTGGCAGGTGGAGTAGCGGCGAGGGACAAGACGGGGGGGAACTGGGGGGATCCGCTGCTGCTGCTGCTGCTGCACCTGGAGGGTTTAGGGTTTAGGGTTTAGGGTTTGGGGTTTAGGGTTTAGGGTTTACTTCGGGGATGAATTCGGTTTTGCATCCCGTCATGGAGTTGTTGAGCATTAAACCTGTTATGAGTTTGCCTTCTCTGGAAGGCGCTTTCCAGTCCTCCCCCACAGTGTGGCGGCTCTTGGCCTCCATTTGGCTGCTGCTGCTGCTGCTGCTGCTGCTGCCGCTGCTGCTGCTGCTGCTGCTCATCGTGGCTACGCGCTGGCACAGCTGCGGGGGGAAGCTGCTGCTGCTGCGGTAACTGCTGCTGCTGCTGCTGCCGATGCTGCAGCGAACCGGGGAGTTGAAGGCGAACGCGCCCGCGACGGAGTGCCTGTAGCAGCAGCAGCAACAGCAGCAGCAGCAGCAACAGCAGCAGCAGCAGCAACAGCAGCAGCAACAGCAGCAGCAGCAGCAGCAGCAGCAGCAACAGCAGCAGCAGCGAAAATACAATGAGCAAGATGCAGCAGCCACTGGCAACAGAGTCGAAAAGCTGCACACAAGACAAGAAAGCTCCTGCTGCTGCTCACGTCGGCAGCAGCAACAGCAGCAGCCGCTGCTGCTGCTGCAGCAGCAGCCAGTACTGCTGCAGCTGCAGCGGCAGCTAGCTCAGGAACAGACCTGGGTATTTTCCGCAGCCACTTGGCTGCTGCTGCCATGCAGTGTTGGTTTGTTTTGCTGTTGTGGGGCCCCAGCAGGGCAGCGGCTATCGGCAGCAGCAGCAGCAGCAGCAGCAGCAGCAGGGAAGCCTCTAGGGGTTTCTTTCGGAGTTTCTTCAGCAAAGGAATATTATATAAATTATAAAGTGGAAATAGAAGAATCCAAAGACCGACGGGCAAGGGCCCAATCAGCATAGCTTGTGGGGATGCAGCTGCTGCTGCTGTTGCTGCTGCTCGTGCTGCTGCTGCTGCTGCCGCTGCTGCTGCTCTTGCTGCTGCTGCTTACGAAAGAACCTTTCTGCGCCTTCCAATGCTGTTTCTTTTCATGTAGGAGAAACTGAGGCGAACCCTAGACAGGCCGAGACACCCTGAGGACAGCAGCAGCAGCAGCAGCAGCAGCAGCAGCAGCAGCAGACCGCTGCCGCTGCTGCGGCGATCCTCGAAGCACTGGAGAGTACTGGCATGAAGTGTACGTACACCTCAACTTCTTTTACTATTTTTAATCCTTTTTATTTCCTTTTAATTCATTTTGTGTCCCTCAAGTTTTCTTCTCCTGCTGCTGCAGAGCCGCAGCAGCAGCCAGGTGTACGTACACCACAGGCAGCAAACGGGCCTTGGAGTTTTCATATAATCGACGGAGCAGCTGCAGCTGCACATAGTAGTAGCAGCAGCAGCTGCTGCTGCTGCAGCAGCAGCTGCAGCAGCAGCTGCACATAGTAGCAGCTGAAGCTCCAGCAGCAGCTGCAGCAGCAGCTGGAGCAGCAACTGCACATAGTAGCAGCAGCAGCTGCACATAGTAGCAGCAGCAGCTGCACATACTAGCAGCAGCTGCTGCCGCCGCAGCTGCTGCTGCAGCTGCCGATACCACGAGAGCAGCAGCGGCTGGGGCTTCTGCTGCTTATCTGCTGCCACACAGCTGCCCGCGCTGCTGCTGCTGCTGCTGCTGCTGCTGCTGGGCCTGCGAATTTGACTGCTGCAGCAGCAGCAATCGCTGCTGCTGGAGCTTCTGCAGCAGAAGATGCTGTGGAAGCCAGTGGCACTGCGGCAGCTGCAGTGATGGCTGCTGCTGCTGCTCGGCTGCTGCTGCTGCTGCTCGGCTGCTGCTGCTGCTGCTGCTGCTCGGCTGCTGCTGCTGCTGAGCAGTAGCCGCTGCTGCAAAATGCCGAAGAGGATAAGGGTTGGTGCTGCCTTCGTTATCTCGGCCTTTGCATGAGTGCCTCAGATCTACAAGTTTAGGGTTTAGGGTTTAGGGTTTAGGGTTTAGGGTTTAGGCTTTAGGCTTTAGGCCCTTCTGACCCTGGAACGTTGCCGCTTCAGAGCCCGTGTCAGGTCCCCAGCAGCAGCTTCCTCTTTGCCGCTGCTGCTGCTGCTGCTGCTGCTGCTGCCGCTGCTGCTGCTGCTGCTGCTGCTGCTGCTGCTGCTTGCAGATGCCTAGCAGCATTTGGTGTGTATAGACACCTGCTGCTGTCTGGGGTGTATGTACACTGCAGCGCATTTGGAGTGTACGTACACCGGAAAGTTCGCAGCTTCGTTTGCCAAAGAAGAGGAAAATAAATAAATTAAATAAAAGAAAAAATTAAAATAAATAAATAAAAAGAATAAAGAAAAATAAAAAAGGCAAAAGCCGAGGAATGGCAAAGCCCGGGGGGGGCAGACAAAGCATTAGGGTTTAGGGTTTAGGTACCAGGGTTTAGGGTCTATGCATTAGGGTTTAGGGTTTGAGGTCTAGGGTTTAGGGTTTAGGGTTTAGGGTTTTGTTGAGGCTCATCTAAAGAAATGGATAAAGCTCTCGGAAGTCCGTTGGGTGCAGCATCACAAGCTGCCCCTTCCAAAATAACTGCTAGCTGGCTAGCTAGCTAGCTGGTGGCTAGCTAGCTAGTTAGCTGGCTAGCTAGCTAGCCAGTTAGCTAGCTAGCTAGTGGCTAGCTGGCAGCTAGCCACCAGCTAGCTGCGTGCGAGCTGCCGGCTAGGCGTGAGCTGGCTGGCAGCTAGCTGGCAGCTAGCTGCGGCAGCTAGCTACCAGCTAGCTGTGAGCTAGCCGCCTGGCAGCTCTATGCGGCACCAGTTAGCGGCTAGCTAGCCACAGGCTGGCGGCCAGCTAGACAGAAGATAACCACCAGCTAGCTAGCTAGCCAGCAGCTAGCCAGCAACTAGCTAGCTAGTTGGCCGGGGCCCCGCAGCGCTAGCTCGCTCCTGCTAGCTAACGCTGCTGCTGTTCGGGAGTTCGATGGAGGTTGGCTGGCTAGCTAGCTAGCCCGTCGCTAGCTAGCCAGCCCGTGGCTAGCTAGCCAGCCCGTGGCTAGCTAGCTAGCTAGCTAGCCCACCCACTCGCCAGCTAGCTGGCGAGCCCGAGGCTAGCTAGGTAGGTAACCCGCTGCTAGCTAGCTAGCCAATTCGCGGCTAGCTAGCCAGCCAGCCCTCGCTAGCTAGCTAGCTAGCCCTGCCGTGGCTAGCTAGCTGGCTAGTCCCGCCTTAGCTAGCTAGCTAGCCTTCCCATGGCTAGCTAGCTAGCCAGCCAGGAAATAAAAAATTAGCCCTTATTCTGTTTTCGATTCAAACCTAAAGAAACCTTCGTGTGAGAGGCCTGGTAGCTCTTGGAAGCAGCTGCGATGAGGACCGTCTAGGGTTTAGGGTTTAGGGTTTAGGGTTTAGGGTTTGAGACTTGGGGTTTGTCGGTCAGAGTTTATGTCCAGTCTTCCCTGTTCCTGCAGAGAGATAGACACCCAGCTGCTGCCCTTCCAACGCTGCTGCTGCTGCTGCTGCTGCTGCTGCTGCCAAGGCGAAGTGCCTTCTAGCGGCTGCTCTGTTTGCTGCTGCTGTTGCTGCAACCTGCTGCTGCTGCTGCTGCTGCTGCTGTAGTTAGCCTGTTTGTTCTTGCTGATGCCGTCAAAGCAGCAGCCATTACTGCTGCTGCTTCTGCTCCTGCTGCTGCCGTCAAAGCAGCAGCCCTTACTGCTGCTGCAGTTTCTGTTGCTGCTGCTGCTGTCAAAGCAGCAGCCGCTGCTGCTGCTGCTGCTGCTGCTGCTGCTGCTGCTGCTTAGGCCCGCTGAGCCACAGCAAGGAAGTCATCGAAGGCCCTGTTGACTGCAGCACCGGCGGGCGTTTTGTTTCCTTCCTGCAGCAGCTTATCTGCGATTCTGTCTACCCAGTCCACATTCTTTTTGCTGCTGCTGCTGCTGCTGCTGCTGCTGCTGCTGCTGCTGCCGCCGCGCATGAAGGCGCCAACTGCAGCAGCAGCACGCGAAGCCACATCTGAGGCCTGGGCCGGGTTAATGCTCCCGAGGCTCCCAAGGAGAGGCAGCACAGACTGCTGCTGCTGCTGCTGTGCGGGAGGCTGCTGCTGCTGCTGCAGCGCAGCAGGCTGCTGCTGCAGCGCAGCAGGCTGCTGCTGTACTTGCTGCAAAGCTAGCTCCTGGTGCTGCTGGGCCTGCTGGGCAGTAGTGAAGAGCTGGTACTGCGTTTGGAAGGGCTGCTGCTGCTGCTGCTGCTTTTGCTGCTGCAGGGGGTCTACGAATTGCTGCTGCGGCAGCAGCTGCTGCTGCTGCAGTGGCGGAGTGAATGGCTGCTGCTGCAGCGGCTGCTGCTGCAGCAGATCCGGTTGCTGCAACAGGCTCTGCTGCTGCGAGAAGCTCGGCTGGTACTGCTGCACCGCGGGAGGAGCAGCAATAGCTGCAAGGTTATCTTGGGGAGGTAGTAGCTGCTGCTGCTGCAGTTGCTGCTGCTGCAGCTGTTGCTGCTGTAGATGTTGTTGCTGCAGCAGCTGCTGGCTGACGAGCTGCTGCTGCAGCAGCTGCTGCTGCGCAAGGTCTTGCTGCTGCTGCTGCTGCTGCAGCGGGCTCACTGCAGCCTCAAAATGAGAGTCTCCTGCTGAAGCCCCAAAGACAACGCCTTGCGGCAGCAGCCCCGCAGGTGCAGCGGGAGAGCCGAACTGTGCTGCTGCTGCTGCTGGTGCTGCTGTGATTGCTGCTGCTGCTGCTGGTGCTGCAGCCAGAGGTGCTGCTGCTAAGGGTGCTGCGGCCAGGGGTGGCGGCGGTGCTGCTGCTGCTGCAGACATGCCCTGCGCGGACATTGGCAGCATCAGCGAGGGGCCCCCTGCTGCAGCAGCAGGAAGTCCTGCTGCAGCAGCAGGAAGTCCTGCTGCAGCAGCAGGAAGGCCTGCTGCAGCAGGAGGAAGGCCTGCTGCAGCAGCAGGGAAGCTCGCTGTAGCAGCGGGGAGGAAGACCTGGGGAGCGGGGGGCCCGAGGGAGGCGGCAGGCGCTGCTGCTGCTGCTGCTGCTGCTGCGGGCTGCTGCTGCTGCAGCTGCTGCAGCAGCTGCTGCGCCTCGGGGGCCTTTTCGCGCAGCAGCTGCGCTATTTTCAAAGTGGCTCCTAAACCCTGAGCCATTTTAATATTATTTCCTTCGATTTCTTTTTTTTGCTGCTTCTGTTTTTTGGAAACTTCCCACGCTGCGAAGCCCTCAATGGCTCCTGCTGCAGCGTCTGCTGCTTCCTCCCCCCCTGCTGCTGCTGCTGCTGCTGCTGCTGCTGCTGCTGCTGCTGCTTTCTGCCGCCGACACTCACATATGGCCTTCTGGCCTTTGTTGCGCATTGGGACTGTGTGTCTGAACACCTCGTACTCGTGCGTCTCCGTCTTGCTCAACCCGCACGTGTCTTTCCCCTGAACGCAAACCCTAAACCCTAAACCCTAAACCCTAAACCCTAAACCCTAAACGCTACACCCTGAACACCTCATGGGCACTAAACCCTGAACAGTACGCTACAGGCATTGCATCCTACGCCGTAAATTCCGCACTACTAAACCCAGATTTCCAAGCCCCAAACCCTAAACCCTAAACCCTAAACCCTAAACCCTAAACCCTAAACCCTAAACCCTAACGCTTAACCTCTGCAGGCCACATCTGACGGCGAGGACCCCTACGCGCTGCGCCGAACCCCTCCAGTGGCCCCCTCCCCCATCCCCCCAAACCCCAAACCCCAAACCCCAAACCCCAAACCCTAAACCCTAAACCCTAAACCCTAAACCCTAAACCC